CAAATGGGTGAGTGAGTGTAAGTGTGAACCACCAGGTGGTATTCGTGTAGTTTAGTTGACGGGGTGTATCAGGGAGATAAGATGTTTTCTAATGGTAGTTTTGAAGGTGATGAATGTGTCTGCAGTTCTAGAGTTCTCAGGTAGGGTGTTCCAGATTTTAGGGCCTTTGACATACATTGAATTTTTGTAAAGGTTTAGTCGGACACGGGGAATGTCATAGAGATGTTTGTGTCTGGTGTTATGCCTGTGGGTTCTGTCACAACTATCACATGTGTAAATTAACCACCAGGATAACCCCCCCTCCCCCGAAAAAAAAGGTCAGAGAGTGACTTATCTCCACTATGGTCATTGTAATATATTATTTAAACCTTAAACGTAAAAAAAAAAAATCTATTTGACTCACTTCCGTCTCTTCTCATCCTGGAAACCCGCCATCTTGAGCGTCACACACCTGCTGACTGGTCTGGCTGCACCACAAGGCTTCCACGGGGGTTCCCACACCAGCTGGCTCACCCTGGAGGCTTCACTGGGGAAAAAATAAGCCCCGTAAGTGAGGGAACCTCTGAGGACGGGACGGGAACTGGACAAGTTGTAAACAAACGCCATGACACCAACACATTCACAATTTCACTTATTTTAATAAGTAAGTTTATTCTGATACAAGTACACATAAATACAGTTACATAAATTATTAAAAATAGCAGCGTATATGTATATTACCTAGAATAACCCAAAAAAGTCAAAGTGACTTATCAACACTGAGGTCCTTGATTTCCACTGGGGTCCTTGATGTCCCATAAGTAAATTTATTAAGGCGTAAGTACACATAAATACAGTTACATAAGTTACCATACATAGCAACATATGTGTACATTACCCAGGAAAACCCCCCAAAAGTGCAAGCCAAAATAACATTTCTACAAATATATCTCACAACACCTAACCCAACTACACTAAAACACATCACACATATTACTATGTACTTTAAATTTTGCCTACCATACAGCAAAATAAAAAAAATATGTAACTATTTATGCATTCGTAAATGATGGAATATTCAAACAACCACAGAGAACTCTCATACTCACAATCTCACTTATTTTCTCTAATATATCAAATAAGCTACTTTATTTCAGCATGATACAATGTTTGTATAAAGGTGAAAGACATTTTTAATATGCAAAGCATATTTTGGGCAGACTTAAGACCTTACGTACTGAGGATTCTAGCTTGACATAATATTTTTTATTTATTTATTAACAATTTTAGCATATATACAGAGGTACAAAAAAATACAGGTAAGAGCAGCATACCAAAGCCACTTATATGCATAGCATTACAGGCTGGCTTAAAATTAACTTAAGATTAACTAAGCAATGATGAAATCAGTGATAAAACATTATTATAAACAGATAACTATAAAGCACAAGTGAGTATTACAAAGACAGGTCATAGGGTTGCTTACATTGCTGTACATTCAGTCGTATGGAGTATTCTGTTAGGTAGTGTATTTAAAAAATAATAAAGTTAGATTGGGTTTTAGGTTTAACATTTATGTGATATAATTGTGAGAAACATTTAAGATATACAATTTATAAGGTTCAGTTATTCAGTATTTATTTGGTTTTGGGTGAGTAAGTGATCTTTGAGAAGAGACTTGAATTTATAAACAGGTAGTGTTTTCTTTTATATTTACAGGTAATGAATTCCAGATTTTAGGACCTTTTATGTGCATTGAGTTTTTGCATAGTGTGAGATGGACACGAGGAACATCAAAGAGTGATCTGTGCCTTGTGTTATGGTCATGTGTTCTGTTGAGGTTGGCAAGGAGACGTTTGAGGGGGGGTTAATATCAGAGTTAAGTGTTCTATGTATGTAATAGGTGCAGTAGTAATATGGATGTTTTGTATGGTGAGTAGGTTGAGTGTTTTGAATATTGGTGGAGTGTGCTGCCTGTAGTGAGAATTTGTTATCATTCTAACTGCGGGCCTTTTGTTGGGTAATTAGTGGTCTGAGATGGTTAATTGTTGTTGAGCCCCATGCACAAATTCCATAGGGCTCAACAACAATTAACCATCTCAGACCACTAATTACCCAACAAAAGGCTGCAGTTAGAATGATAACAAATTCTCACTACAGGCAACACACTCCACCAATATTCAAAACACTCAACCTACTCACCATACAAAACATCCATACATATTATTGCACCTATTACATACATAGAACACTTAACTCTGATATTAACCCTCCCCTCAAACATCTCCTTATAGGGCCAGGAGGGCTGACTGTGGAACATAGTACCGTATCTTCGATAGTATGCCTACAGTCTTGGAAATTTTCTTGGAAATTTGTTGTATATGTGTTTGAAATTTTGTGTCTATTATCAAGGTGGATTCTTAAGAATTTTCCCTCTGTGAGTTTTGTGACAGGTGATCCGTTTATCATTATGTTAAGAGGTACATCTGTAGCTCTGTTACCAAACTGAATGAAGTAGGTTTTGTCAATGTTTAGAGTAAGTTTGTTAGTACTCATCCAGGTTGATATTTTCTGTAATTCCCAAGGCGATTCTGCGTTCGATTCCCACCGAGGGTAGAAACACTGGGTGTTTCTTTACACCGGTTGTCTATGTTCACCCATCAATAAAATGGGTACCTGGGTGTTAGTGGACTGGTGTGGGTCGCATCCTGGGTGTTAGTGGGCTGGTGTGGGTCGCATCCTGGGTGTTAGTGGACTGGTGTGGGTCGCATCCTGGGTGTTAGTGGACTGGTGTGGGTCGCATCCTGGGTGTTAGTGGACTGGTGTGGGTCGCATCCTGGGTGTTAGTGGACTGGTGTGTGTCGCATCCTGGGTGTTAGTGGACTGGTGTGGGTCGCATCCTGGGACAAAACTGACCTAATCTGAGGGAAATGCTCAGCATAACAAGTGGCTTTCTCTTTAGTAGTATGTCATTGATGTCAGCTATGGTCTGTATATCTTGTACATGTTTACCTGGAGTTTACCTGGAGAGGGTTTCGAGAGTCAACGCCCCCGCGGACCGGTCTGAGACCAGGCCTCATGGTGGATCAGGGTATGATCAACCAGGCTGTTACTGTTGGCCGCACGCAAGCTGACGTACGAACCACAGCCCGGTTGGTCAGGTACTGACTTTAGGTGCCTGTCCAGTGCCTTCTTGAAGACAACCAGGGATCTATTGGTAATTCCCCTTATGTATGCTGGGAGGCAGTTTAAGTCTTGGTCCCCTGACACTTATTGTGCTGTCTCTCAGTGTACTTGTGGTGCCGCTGCTTTTCATCGGGGGAATGTTGCATCTCCTGCCGAGGATTTTGCTTTCATAGGGAGTGATTTTCGTGTGCAAGTTTGGTACCAATCCCTCCAGGACCTTCCCAGTGTATATTATCATGTATATCTCTCGCCTGCGTTCCAGGGAATCCCAAATCAAGGACCTTCAACCGTTCCCAGTAGTTTTAAGTGCCTTATCGCACTTATGTGTGCCGTGAAAGTTCTTTGTACACTCTCCAGGTCTGCAATGTCGCCAGTCTTGAAGGGGGCCGTTAGTGTACAGCAGTAGTCCAGCCTAGAGAGCACAAGCGATTTGAAGAGAATCATCATGGGCTTGGCATTCCTAGTTTTGAAGGTTCTCATTATCCATCCTATCATTTTCCTAGCGGATGAGGTAGATACATTGTTGTGGTCTTTGAAGGCGAGATCTTCTGACATTATCACTCTGTTAGTGTCAGGTAAAGATCCAAAAGATATAGTTAATGTACTATAACTAGAACTTGAGTCCTGCAGCAAATAGTTAGTAGAAAACAAATTATCGTTACACCTCGGGAAAACGGAAGCCATACTCTTTGGCACGAAAAATAAACTGAAAAGGGTAAATAATTTTAATGTTCGGTTTTAATGGGGAACCCATCACTTCAGTTTCCTCAGTGAAATATCTGCGAATCCCTTTTGACCCATGCATGTCAGGAGAACTGATAGAGAACAATTTAGTAAGGAAAGCGAATGCCAAACTGAAGTTCTTCCACAGACAAGCACAATATCTACCTACTGAGGCTCGCAGGACCCTATGTCTATTCCTTACACAATGTTGTATGGACTACGCTTGCTCTTTATGGTACTCAGCCTTGACAAAAAAACTGATTGACTGCAAATCACTCAGAACAAAATGGTAAGATTCATCCTGGACGTGGGTCCAAGAGAGCATGTTGGCCAGGATGAATTACAACAATTAGATGTATTGTATGTTGAAGACAGAGTAAAACAACTGAAGCTAAATCATGTTTATAAAATTGCTCACAAACAGTGTCCAGAATATCTTGCTGTCAATTTTGTCAAGGTTGGGAACCGCAGCAATCATAGTACTAGGGGGAGAGAACACAACTTTGTAGTACCCACAGTCAGTGACCAGGCTTCAAACACCTTTTATTGTACAGAAATAAAGGAATGGAACAGACTGCCCGCACATGTCAAAGCCAGTCATAGCATGAACCAGTTCAAGAAGAGTGCCGAAAGGTGTCTGATGAATGTAGCTACAGAAAGGGAGGAGAATGATTTTTTATTTTTTTTTAGCTAACACACAAGGAAATATAAATAATTCAATTTACCGTATTCTATCTCCTTTATAGTATAATAATAAAATATTATCTCCTTTATAGTATAATAAGGTAGTAAAAGGATCCCCAATGGAAATAAGTAACTCTGACGTTTTGGGTTATCTAGGTTCTCTACACATATGCTGTTATGTATGATGATCTATGTAACTGTATTTGTGTATACCGATTGGTGAGGGGCTCTTGATTTAGGGAATTGGATCTGTGCTCCAGTTCCCCGAATTAAGCCTGAATGCCTTCCACATCCCCCCCCCAGGCGCTGTATAATCCTCCGGGTTTAGCGCTTCCCCCTTGATTATAATAATAATAATGTGTATACCGAATAAACTCATTTATTTATTATTAAATACTTGGAGAAGGAGAGGTGGAGAGAGTATATGGTGTCAGTAGCCCTTTACAACCCCAACAACAACAACAACACCATCAGTGACTCACTCTTGCTGGGAAGTACTGATAACTGTAGTGTTAAATACTGAGGTTTTGGAGGCACATAGCACCTTCAGGCAGACATCTCTTGTCCTCGGAACAAACATCAGTTGAGGGAGAATACTGTGCACAAGTTTGGACTAAAACCTCAGGGAACAACCATGAGTCTGGCCAAGATGCCCAATGAGAGGAAACTGACGTTGTGTAGGAAGTATTATATGGGTATGTGGGCACGTACTTTACTCTGGGTAAATTGATATATATGTAACTGATGTGATGTTGTGGCAACGTTTCGCTCTTCAGGAGCTTTGTCAAGATGTTACTTGTAATTTTGTCGTTATTAGTGTGCCCTGGCCCCTCAAGGGCTCCTTGATGCTGGTGAGGGGCTCTTGATCTAGGGGATTGGATCTGTGCTGAAGACCTTCCATCCCCCCCACAGGCGCTGTATAATCCTTCGGATTTAGTGCTTCCTCATGATTATAACAATACTGTACCCTGGGCACCTGCGGTCTCAGTACAGTGAAAAACTGCGTTTCGGAACTTTGTTTTTCACTGTTTAAGATAAGATAAGGTGGTGAAATCCTTAAAACTATTTCTTAACCACAATGGAAATAAGTCACTAACTTTTTTGGGTTATCGAAGGTAATCTACACACATGCTGCTATGTATGATAATTTATGTAACTTTATATATGTGCACCTGTACCAGAATAAACTTGTAAAGTAAAAGGACACAAATGCAACTAATGTGACATTTTATTGTGGCAACGTTTCGCTCTCCAGGAGCTTGATGAAGCTCCTGGAGAGCGAATCATTGCCACAATAAAATGTCACATTAGTTGCATTTGTGTCCTTTTACTTTACATATTGTCGGTAATTCTACCAACTTTATTACAGAATAAACTTACTAACTTAATTATCTCTGGGTTTGAGTACTACCTGAAATATTGAAGGATACTTTTAGGTGGTTTTGGGAAGAGGTTAAGACAATTAGATTGATGGGTATGGTGGGCTTTAAAAATTAAGTGCCCAAAATGCATTGCATGCTAGCTGCTTTCTTTTGTTCCTAATAATATTTTATTACATGTAAACTATATTATCTTTGTATTGCATAAAAAGAAATAAAAATTTGAATTTGAGTATGGGCCAGTAGGCCTCCTGCAGTGTATTATTATATAATTATAATCAAGGAGGAGCACTAAACCGTAGGATTATACAATGCTTGTAGGGGGGGGATGGAAGGTATTCAGGCTTAATTCAGAAAACCGGAGCACAGATCCAATTCCCTAGATCTAGAGCCCCTCACCAGCATCAAGGAACCTCGCTTGAGGGGTCCTGCAGTGTAACTATCTAATTTTTTTTGGGTTATCCTGATGGGTAATTTACACTGTGCAATAATTGTAGTACTTAGGTGTATCTGTACCTAAATAAACTTACTTCATCCATTCTTATGTTATTATGTACATAGATGCCTAGGAGTTAGTAGTGTGTTTTGGGTTGCATCCTGGGAGGAGGTAATAAATGACCTTAATAAATATTAGCCTCACTGCTTGAGTTATCCTGAGAATAATTGAGAAGTGCAGTATGTCTGTTGGTTTATGCTGGGCATGTTTGACTCGCATTTACTCATGTACCTGACCAACCTGTTTTTAAAATCACCTACGATTCTTGCTTCAGTGATGCCACTTTGCATAAGTGTATAACAAAAATATAGGCTGGGCCTTGGACACTCCACCTGACACAACCAGTTACTTATTCCATTGTTCCTTTATTCCTGTGTAATTATTGGTAAATGTCATCTGATTGTGCTGTCATCCTATTTAGCATGACTACCCTTGTACACCAGAATACTTTTAGTTCTAAGATAAAAATACTAGTTCTGAGATAGATAAATATTACGATGGAATATACTTTAGAGGAGGTTCGAAATGCATCTCTGATTTACCGGTGATAAATTTTGTTTATCTGTCCTGATATTTATATTTGGATATTAGCTGTTCTTTTCATTAATCATAAGTAGCTCAATAAATAAGAACATTCTTTTTTTTACAGCTGGGTTTGCTTTCCTGCCATTTATGTGGGCAGTAAATGCAATGTGGTTTTTGAATGAAGCATTCTGGGCGCCTCCATACCCTGAACAAAAACAGATTCGAAAATGTGAGTATAATGTCTTATTACTATGAATTATATTTGCATATACTCTTGATTTTTTTATGATTGGCACAGCAAAGATAGAAATAAGTCACTTTGTTATCCTAGATAATTTACACATGTTAAACTATGTGCTGTATGATACGTAATTGTACTTATATGTACCTGTACCTAAATACACTTACTTACTTACAGATGTGATTGTATCAATAGTGGGAGCATTGGTGTGGCTGGTAGGACTCATCAGTTGGGTGGTGGTGTTCCAACAGAATCGCAGTGCCTGGGGTGCCACTGCTGACTATATGTCCTTCATCATTCCTAAAGGAGTCCCATAGTCGCTCCTCTCCTACAGTACTCTTGTTCTTATACACAAGTGACTGAAGCTGACAGATGTACTTCCTTTTTATTTACAAAACAAAAAATATAATGTGTAGCATTTGTATTTTCTTATATTAACCTTTCATTAATATAATTAAATTGTAGTAACATAGTGGTTATTGCAGACAGTTCAAAGTAAGTCATTTTACCATGAGTGAAGAAATTTACAGCTAACTCATACTTTGGATTCTTTCATTCATTACGGATTTGCCGGTACTTCCGGCCCAGGTCTTCTTCTACTTTGGATAGAAAGCCTTAAATAACATGCCTGTCTGCCATATACATGTTATTATCGACTCAACACATGATTATTGTCCAGGATGCACTGAAATGTTATTTAAAGCTTCCCCTTCAAATTGTGGGTTAGTAGTCTACTTGTAATCTGAAGGATGTTATTACTCTACATATAATGACTACTATGAATATTCTAGTGTATTTTTATACAATTTCCAACATTAATGAAGCACCTGAAAGCTCAGACCAGCCAGCAAAATTGTTCTTACTACAACTCAGATGACTAATATACTCATTCTTGAGGTAGCTACACTTACCATAACATACTGGAAGATACATTTTCTACAAATTACGTACAGTGCCGTATAACCCTTGTGGGTTTAGCACTTAGTTTTGGTTGTAATACATACTGTATTATGTATACAGCATTGTATTTTTGGTGCAGTACATGTACAGTGGTACTATTGTAAATGAATTTGTATTTGTAGATGAATGGTTCAGAGAACCGACATGTTGATAAATTAGACACATGTGCAACTCTTGGGTATCTTTATTGAGGAAACGTTTCGCCACACAGTGGCTTCATCAGTCCATATGTAGAAGAAACTTGAAGAACAGGAGGAGAATGAGGTAATCAGTCCCTCAACCTTGAGTCGATGTGTTCAGTCCATCAATCTTGAATAGAATACGGCATATGAGTGGAGAAGCAGCTTATAAACCGTATGGCAGGAGAGGTGCAGCAGTCATAGGTGGTGTCACATTTGCCGTATTCTATTCAAGATTGATGGACTGAACACATCGACTCAAGGTTGAGGGACTGATTACCTCATTCTCCTCCTGTTCTTCAAGTTTCTTCTACGTATGGACTGATGAAGCCACTGTGTGGCAAAACGTTTCCTCAATAAAGATACCCAAGAGTTGCATATGTGTCTAATTTATCAAATGAATTTGTAGTTTTCAAGTTGGTCTGATTACTGGAAGTATCATCAGCTTAATGTTATACTAAATGTTTGATATTTATCAGGAAAATATTTACCAATCGAGCTTTTATTTCTGATGCCTGCATTAGAGGAGCCACTTAGTGTAGTACTGTGCATGAATATGGTGTATGTTAAAGAGGTATGACCCATACCTCTTTAATACTTGCTTTTATTATTATAATAATAGTCAAATTATAGCTCATGAACCTAATGTATGTATTAAGGCTTTTTTATGAGAAAAATTTATAAATTGGTCTGTGTGTTTTGAATTTAATGGATTATGTTTAATGCTTCATAATGAGACTTGTGGTTATATAACACATGAAAATTTATTGATCATATAATTTTAATATATTTTAATACATTATACACAGTTCTATATTCTATGATTACATGGTATGCAGTTTTATATTCTATGATTACATGGTATACAGTTTTATATTCTATGATTACATGGTATACAGTTCTAAATTCTATGAAGAAACAAAGAAAGATAAGGATGTTAGATCTTTATACTGTCTCTTAATACTACTCGAGGCTCCACAAAGAAAGCGCTGGATCTTGGCTTTGATGACAAAGTGTTTTTCAAAAAAATACCAAGTCACACCACCAATGTGGCAAATGACCGACTCATTCAATAATTATTTTGCCAAAGGTGCACTAACATCACAGTTCAAATGACCCAATTAAGTCAACATTCCAACTTTTTCTGAGTGCAGCCACTGTGCTTTTCACATCCATGACACGAGTCTGATTAATTGGCTTTCCTGAATTCAGGATTTTTGATGTTGCCTCTTCTTAAAGATACCACAAGGTGCATTTGTTTGCCTCAGATAATGTGGTGAATTATTATTATAATCATGGGGAAGCGCTCAACCCGTAGGATTATAGAGCGCTTGTGGAAGGGGGGGATGGAAAGTTTTTCAGGCTTAATTTAGGGAACTGGAGTGCAGATCCAATTCCCTAGATCAAGAGCCCCTTAGCAGCATCAAGGAACTTCCTTTGGAGGGTAACTCTGTGGTGAAGATAGTAAAGGCGATACGACAACAGCACGTCAGACCTCTAAGCTTCCATTGTTTTGATATTACAGAAATTGCTGTAAAATGTCACTGTGCCAGATTACTTGAGTGAATTATCATAGTTTATGTTCGTAATATTTTACAGTGGTACCTCGGGATACGAACAGCTCAAAACTCAGACAGTTATGTAAGGGGTCTGAAATGGATTAATCTAATTTACATTATTCCTTATGGGAACAAATTTGTCTGGTATTGGCACTCGAACACCCTTCTGGAACAAAGCAAGTTCATATCCCGAGGTACCACTGTATTTTATTTTCCTATTATCACAAATGATTTCAGAAGATTAATCATGTTACAATCAGTTAATGTGAAGTGTAAACATCATGTTTTTATACATTATGAAAATTTAAGGTAAATATATTTTCTTCTGTTTTATAACTGATCTTTTCACGATCTTGTAATTTTTGAAAATAGAAAATATATTCTAATGCAGTATTAATGCATTCATATACATATTAACCCTTAAACTGTTCAAACGTAGATGTACGTTTGTGCGCGTAGAGCTCCGACCTTGATTTTCTCCATAAGAAACAATAAAAAACATAGATCTATGTTTGGAGCGCTACGCGAGCAAACGTAGATCTACGTTTGGACAGTTTAAGGGTTAATATAATGTAACCAAAGTTTTTTTTTTTTCTTTTGCATGGGTTATTAATTTTTCCACAACATTTTTGTGCAAGTGCATAAAAATATACTGACCGGTGCAAGCATTAGTAATGCTCAAACCTTTCAAGTGTTTAAATGGGTTCCTTGATCCTGGTAAAAGGCTCTTCATTCAAGGAATTGGAGTTACCCTCCCCTTCCTTGGATCAAACCTGATTAAAACTCATTTTCCAGGTGCTGCATGACTCATATGACTGCTTCAGTGTCCTGACATGCTTTATGCCTTTTCTCTTATGGTCCCATTTTTACTGCACACATACAGTATACTGGTTAATTAATTGACTGATTTGCTTTATCAGCTGCACCTCCAGTCATCTTAATAATATAATATCTTTATTTCTACAAGTACATACATGTACAAGGTATACAGACCATAACTGACATCAGTGACATACTACAATATAGAAAGCTGCTTGTTATGCAGAACATTTCGGGCAAATTAGATCAGTTTTGTCCCAGGATGTGACCCACATCAATCAGCTAACACCTAGGTACCCATTTTACTGATGGGGAACATAGACAACTGGTGCAAAGAAACACATCCAACGTTTCTACCCTCGCCAGGAATCGAACCCAGACCCTCGCCATGTTAAGCGAGAGCTTTAGCCACAGGGCACCGGTCCTTCTCTCGTCCACCTTAATCTCTCTCGCCTCTGCCATGTAGGGCTGTATGACTGTTACAAAAAATGCGATATTTAATAATGATAGAGATCTCCAGTGAATACTAGAAAGGACTGCCCCTCTAGCATCCAGCCTGTTACTGGGTTTTTGTAACAAGTAGTCAGTATCCTGGTCCAATTATCCATTAGAATTTAATAGTAAGATTCAATTGTGCTTCAGGATTACAACTGTTAGGCTACTAAAGAAAGTAAAATTTAATAATTTTATTAATAAAGTTGTCTAGGTGGACAATATCAAAGTAAATCAAAGTAATCAATTTAATATAATAATATAGGATACAAGTTGCTACACTTCTCTCGTGTTCAGTAGTAGTGTGTTGAAGGCACATATCACATCTTTATGGCTTTTAAGTACCGTCTGGTACATTGTCTAATATATATACCAGTGAGTATGTGTGTAAGTGCTCTAAGTAGTTCGCTGTGTCTCAAGACTCAATTAGACTTAACCAGTGACTGACTAAAAGTCCTCACATAAACTAACTTCTTGACCAACCTGGTAATCAGAACAGCTTGCTTGAACAGTAAAATGACCGATTCGCCGAACAGCAATATAACAAGCAGCAACAACACAGAATCAGGGACAAGGAGATAACGACATTAAGTAGGGACCATTGGCAGATCCTCTACAAAAGTCGCAAAACTCCCATACTACTGAATCTAAGTTCAGCATAAGAAAATCCCCGGCTGTGACTGTGCACAGATACCAGTACAAATTAGGTCAGAAGCTACAGCTCAGGACCTGAGTTTCTCAGAGTGTCAGTGTGACACACAACCTCAGTAAAATATCGAAAATCAGGCTATGCTCTGTGAACAGAGTTACACAGAACTAACAATAAGAGAATGACAGAGATAATGTTCCAACAAGGGGCAGCAAGGGAGAGCTGGAGAGGGAGGTGTCAGAACCACCATCAAACAGAGAGAGAGCTGGAGAAGGTAAGGCAGTCCTCTCACCCAGGTGAGCCTCTTCAAGGGGGGCTCCTTGTTGTGGTGAAGAGGCTCTTGGTCTGAGGAATTAGACCTGTCAGTCTCCTTCCTCAGACCGAACCTAATTACCCCCAATTCCCCCTTCCCTATCCCATTCTCCCCATCCTCCCCTTTTTCCTTTCCTCCTCCTCCTCCTCCCCACCCCTCCCTTTTGCCCTTCCCTTTTGGCCTTTGGGATTTTTTCCCACAGGCATGCTAGTTCCTAGGTAGGGGAAAGGGTACCGGGGTCCATCCCATTCTGTTGAGGTTCTTGGCGGTGGCGTAGTTTGCCGTGGAATCTGGATTGCCTGGGGATGTCCTGATCCCTCTTCGGTATCCCGGAGGGTGGCTTTGGGTGTCTCTCGGGCGACAGGTGTATCTCTGGAAGCCACCTTTCGGATTCCAGGGGTGGTGGCCGAAGGAGGTATGCGTTGTGGTGGATATCCGTCCGCCCTCTCTTTTGTCCACTGAGGTAGCTCGGCAGATGTGAGGTTGCTATCCCGGATTGCTGGTTTACTGGCATGATGGGTAGGGTATGGCACGGGTTCCATGCTGCATCTGCACTACTTGCGGTGCTGAGGTCCTCTTGGGAGCCGAGGGAGATTTCTGGCCCTATCATTCCTCCTAGGAACTATCCCTCCCCAGTTCCCCCTTTTTTATTCTTTTTTTATTTTATTTTATTTTTTTTTCTTAAAAACAAAAAGAAGGAAGTAACCTAACCATGGCAGCCCTAGTCCATGAACCTGCTACCCCCGGGCCCCTTCTTGGTACCGCACCCCATTCTGACCTCGCCTCGTCTTTGGACCACTCTTCGGACACTCATGCCTCTGTACCTCTTGCCGGTGCTGTTTCCTCACCCGCTTCAGGTACTGAGGTCTCGACTGACTCCTTTGATTTATCTGACCTCTGCTCTCCTTTGACTATGCTTCCGGCCTCTCCCTCTACGGTGCGGCAATTTTCGAATCGCCGGCCCGTTCCACGTCGGACCAACTCTGGTCCCACGTCTAAATGCCAACAACAATTACCTGCTGATGATACTTCTCCACCTTCTTGTTCTTCTCAGAAAAGATCGACACGTCCTGCATCCCCTTTCCATGCTCAGTTTCAGAATGCACAATGGACTAAATTCTTCACTTTACGACCGACTTCCTCTACCGCCTATCTTTCCGACCACAGTATTGGCAAGGCACTCCTACGCCATGTTGGTAAAGATATTTCTTTTCATGCTCTTAGAGCAGTATGCACATCACTGTACAGAATGCTACCCAAGCTCATGATCTTTCTCTTCTTTCCCATATAGATACTGTTCCTGTCACTATTGAAAAACATCATTCCCTCAATTCTTGTAGTGGTACCGTCATTCTGCCCATACCATAGTTCAACAAAATTTCCAGACATGTGGCAATGACATTCTTGAACAGCTGGAACTCCAAGATCTCCCAATCCTCAAGGTAGACACTTATGTTCTTCCTACCCGCGGGCGGAGACGATACCCTAGCAATGTGGCTCATTGAACTTTTGACAGCCATGAACTCCCATCCTCAGTTTATGTAGCAGGACATCGGTTACAAGTTCGAAAGGTGATCCCTACACCGCAACAGTGTAGAAATTGCTGGCGATTTGGCCATCCAGTGAAATATTGCAGATCTATAGCCGAATGCCCAGTCTGTGGTGCCGATGACCATTCTAATACGTCTTGCAATCGACCTCCCTCTTGCCTTAATTGTCGTGAGGCTCACCCTTCGTACTCTCGCCGTTGCCAAGTCTACTTAAATGAGCGGCAAATCCGTTACTTCAAAGAGGCAGAATGTCTCCCTTATGCCATGGCAGTTTCTCATCTCCGCCTCCAAGGGAGACTACCTCGTGTTTCTTATTTCCGTGTTTCAAAACGTCCCCCCACTTCTGGGGTCCCATCTTCTGAAGCCTCCTCTGTGGTTACCTCTCCCATAGTCACTCCTGTATCTAATTCTTTTGCTGTCCAGCTCAGAC